AACTTTGAAAGATAATTTAGTAAAAAAAATAATCAAACATGAAACAATTAGAGCCTACTAGTAATTTTTATCGCGGAAGGTTGAAATCACTTGCAATTTTTCGGGAACCTACTACCAAAGCCGCCGCGAGTTTGCGACACGCGCCGAAATCTGCGGGTGGTGGTTGTTGCCAGCGAAGAGTTTAGTAATCGGACCACAGCTGTTGTAACAAAACACTCGAGCGATTCGGCTCTACAAATCTTTCCGTAACAAAAGTTCAATGTTTTTTGTCCTTCGTTTTCAACAGTTCGACCTTTGAACGATCGGTTTCTTTCTGCACAGAATTGAAAGGGAAAAAAAAGAAAGAGAAAGAACCGCGGCTATGCTCATTGGTTCTACGTCTATGCTCATTGATCCCACCATCGGCAGAGATCGAAACTAACCGATCCTTGCGTTTATACGGAAACCCCCCCTTCGCCTCCATCTTCTGCCGATTTCTTCGTTCGATTTTGCGGAATTTAACCATCCAGTTTCTGGGTTTTCTATTGTGTTGTTTTTTTTTTTTTGGTTCAGTTTTGTTCTGATCGGATTCTATTTCGATCGAACTTTGGCCAAACCCTAGGTGGGTTTTTATTTCTCTGGCTGATTATAACATTCTGTGTACGGGTCAAGAAGAGCTTTCGGTTTCGCGGTGGATTTGCCTGATTTAGGGGGTTGCTTAATTGGAATGGTGGAAAGGGGATAGAGTTAGGATTTGGTGGTGTAAGTAGAAGGAATAGGTATGGAGGAGTCTGAGCTTGAAGAAGGAGAGGCTTGTTCCTACAATAACAACAATGATTATGGCGGATGCATAGACCCCGATACTGATCTCTCTTACATTGTAAGTCCTCAACCATGAAGTAACAACCATCCTTTATACTTCGCTTATTCCTAAATAGATTATGAAGTGTTAACGTTACAGTGTAGATATCTTCCGTCCCTGATTGGATGTGTCAGTTTTGTTAGGAAACTTGTAGAGCTTGTTTGTGATGTAGGAGAGTTAGGGATTTTTATCTCATTGGTTATGGTTTGTGTTCCAATGTTTTTTATGCCTGACATCAAGCTCTAGTGAAGGTCACATGGGAAGTATGGTTATCTCTTTGGTGATTTCACTTTGATCCCAACCAAGATGAGATATTGCTTTAATTGTACCACAGAGCTGTTGCTCTGAATGGTCAGACTGTAAACTCGCATCACCCATTTGGCAGCTAGTTATTTTTTTCAAATACAGTGTTGCCCATTCAGACCTCAAGCAGGATGCTGTTCTTTGGTTTCTTGACTTTCGTTCCTTTTTCTTTATTTTGAAGGATGAGAAGCTTCATAATGTCCTTGGACACTTCCAGAAGGACTTTGAAGGTGGAGTTTTGACTGAGAATCTTGGTATGTTGATGTGTGGCAGCACTGTTCTCCATAGGTCCAAGTACCTCGGAACAAATTCAGGCTAATGATTTGAGTGTGATTACAGGGCCAAAGTTTGGTGGATATGGCTCTTTCTTACCGACATATCAGCGCTCTCCTGTCTGGTCTCATCCAAAGACACCAACAAAGCTGCAGAACTGCACAACTCCTGGATCTCCAAACATTTTTCTGGCAGAGGTAGGTGTTCTCTCAAGCCTACCAGCATATCACCGTGCAAATGTCTGCCTATGTATTTGTTATGTTCTCTTCAAATGCTAGTTTGTTTTATCTCTTATGCACTTTCCTTCGTTATCAGCATGGTATTGCACCTTCATCTATTGTTCCTCAGAAAGTGAGACCCGGGCATGCTTCCTCAATCCTGTCATCACGTTCCGCCTCAAAGGCTTTATCATCGTCTGATTCTGCAAACCCAAAAAAATCTATGAACTCCAAGAAATCCAACCGTTCAGAAACTGCTAGTTCTTCTGCAAAAAAGAAACCTGTTGTCTTCAGTAAACAGAACTCTTTGAAGCTTCGGATCAAAGTGGGGTCAGATAACTTGGCTGGAGAAAAGAATGCTGAGATATACAGTGGCCTTGGCCTTGATGTGTCGCCTTCTTTATCATTGGATCATGGCCTTTCAGAAAGTGAAGGGATGTATTGTGACCCTCGGGATTCTCCATTTGAGTCTCCTACTAGTATTCTTACAGTAAGAGTTCCACAGTTGCTATTTTGTTTGGATCCTGTGATAGTTCCTTTTCTCGAGATGCTTATCGAGTTGAATGTCTTAATGCAGGTCATGACTTCCCTTCCTGTGGAAGATCATCTGTTATCGCCTCTTTCTGATGAGCTAATCCGATTTATTGAGAGGGAAAAGTTCCAAAAGGATAACAAGTATACAACCCCTTCCAGGTTTGCCAATGAAAGTTCTAATGTTACGATGACTGGCTTGGAACCTAAATGTATTGAAGAGAAACCATTGGCAGAGAAGAAAATAAAGAGAGCAGAGAGGAAAATCTTTGCTGTGGAGGCCAATGGCCGCAGTAAGAAGAATTTTTTTTATGGACGCAATTGTGCAAGAAAGGAGGACATCGAAACAGACACGTCATATCCTACTGCTGTTGACACGACAAAACCAAGTGTTAAGTTATTTGATGTATCAGAGGATGACTCCAATGCTGCCTGTCAGAGCAAAGTTGTGGGTGATGGTGAGAGAGGATTGTGGGCTCCAACTCAGCATAAAGATCTTGGATTGGATGAGAATCGTAGGACTAGTTCAGCTGGAAGTGTTCGGGAAGACAAAAAGACTAGCTCTTTGGATGATGTTTCACACCATTCAAGGAAAGAGGACAAGCACAAAGGGAGGAGAATTTCAAGTTCAAGCAAGAAGGACTCAGGTGCTTCGAGAGCAAAAACTGGGCTTGAAGATTCTTTGAGAAATCACAAGGCTAGTCAAAGAGATAACCGCAATGAACAAGATGTTGCGAAGTCTCTGAAAGAGCAGGAGCCTCAATTGTCGTCGGGAGGAAAGATGAAGTTGAAGGAAGAGACTGAGAATAATGATCAAGTTGACTGTCACACTATCAGAAAGCAAGTGGTAGCCTTGAAACCTAACAAGGACGTAAGAAAGGTCGAGGACGCTTACAAAGACTTTTTTGGAGACATGGAGGAATCTGAAGAAGAAGAAGAAGAAGACGAAGAGGATAATTGTTGTTCATTGGAAGTGATAGGTTCCCGGAAATCAGACAAGGTAGTAGTAACTGCTGTTGATGATATATATGAAAAATCAAGCTTCCCACTGATAGAATCTCCTCCAAAGGAAGTTAAAAACGTTGCTCCTCCTATTTTGAGCAAACCAGGATGTGATGCTTCTCTTGCAAATTCTAATCCTGTGTTCATTCAAGAAAATTGGGTTGCTTGTGACAAGTGTGGAAAGTGGAGGCTTCTTCCTTTTGGCATATTACCAAATGACCTTCCTGAGAAATGGATGTGCGCCATGCTTAATTGGCTGTAAGTTCTTTGTCCCCCCCCCCTCCTGTTGCTTGTTTCCATTATTTCATCGTAGATTTTTCTTCCATGATGTGTCAGATGATTAGAGATATCACACACTAGCTAGATATCATATGTGTACTCTCCTTACAAAACTTTTCTCAGCGACTCAGTTGCATCCAGTGCCCTTCTCCTGAAGCGAAGTTTTCAAGTCATGCAGATTATGTATACCTATCGAGCGGAACTTGATACTTTTTCTATAATGTCTGTCCTAGGCCTGGAATGAACAATTGCAATGTCCCTGAAGATGAAACAACGAAGGCTCTATGGGCAATGTATCAAGCCCCAGCCCTGGATAGTCAAGCTGCCATGCAGAGTAACCCCTTAGGCAGAAGTTCCCGGTTTAACCAAGGAGACGACATCACAAAGAATAGGAAAAAGGGATTGAAAGAGGTAACCAATGGAATTGGCAAGGAAGGTCCTCAAACAGCTGAAACTAGCAAGAAGACCACACAAGCATCAGCAAGAAACGGTAGCATTCATCATTCCAGTTTTGTAAATCAATCCAATATAGGCAGGCATAGTCACTTGCCCAAAGAGAAACAAAAACATAAACAGAATGAGAAAGCAAAACTCGTGGATCAGCACTCTGATGGAGGAGGTATTACTCCCAGAAAAATTTACTTAAACTTGTTTAGCCATTTCAGTTTTATAAATGCTCCTGAAGCCCATGAGTCAATTTGTGAGCAGGTGATTCGAGGAGTTTGAAGAGAAAAAGCAAAAGGGATGCTGATAGAGAGAGTTCTATGCTAACCAAGAAGTTGAAGACTGAAATGTTTCTGTTTCCTGATCAAGATCAGGGTTCTGGACATGGTGACATGAGGCCTGGGCGCCCTAGCTCAAGTGGTGGTGTGCCTACCATGTCTATAGATAATGACCGACGGAGATATTTTGACCTTTCAAAGGGAACGGAGCCTGATAAGAAGCACAAACCTCAAGCCTCATCCAAGAGGCCAAAAGAGGAAGGAGCCTCCAGTGATGTCACAGAAGCCAAGAGAAAGAGGAAACTAAGAGACAGCCATGGTTTTCAAGTATACAGTGAGTTAAGTGAAAATGAGAATCAGGAGCAAAAGAAGGCTCGGATTTCGAAATATGAGGAAAAGGAATCTAGTTTTTCCAAAGAAAATGCAAGGTCTGAAAAGAAAAGCAAACGTCACTCAAAAAGAGAGTTTAGACATGTTCAAAACTCAATCGCAGCCACTTCAAGTTCTTCTAAGATTTCCATTTCCCATAAAGCCAAAAACAGCATCCATGAAGGTAAAGGTTCACCCGTTGAGTCAGTATCTTCTTCACCTATGAGAATTTCTGGCCCAGAGAACAGTGGATCAGTCAGAATGAAGAAAAAAGAACCGCATGATAGTAATATCCTCTCAGCAATTATTTTGAGAAGATTCTCTGATGGTGAAGATGATGGTGGGAGTGACAGATTGCAAACACAAATGAAAGACAAACATGGGTCCCACGAGTCTTCTGTGCTTGATTCTTGGGATAAAGAGTCTAGTTTGAAAGCCAAAGAGTGCGAGGAACCTTCTCTTGATGCCAAAAGATATGACATTGAGGATAGTGGTCAGAACGTTTTGCCACGAAAACTTGATCATTCACATGAACAAGGAAGACATACAAATGATCATCAGCGTAGTAATGGGTCCTTGTCGAGGAAGTCAGGAAAAGGTTCATCTTCTCGGTCCAAAGACAAGAGTCAAAGCATCATGTCTGATTTACAGGATGGTCCAAGATATATTGACAAGAAAACACATGAAGGAAAATTTCTTAAGGAGAAAAGTAAAACAGAAGGCCAAACAGATGTTGGGGTGCGTGGTAGCCCCAATGGTAAAGTGGATGCAGTGAGACCAAACATCCCAAGACAGTACGATGTTGAAAGAAACTCTGCAAGGAAATCATCTGAAATGGGCAATAAAGCAGATATGTTCTCAGAAAAGGAAACTTTTCAGTCATGGCCACCTTCTAGAGGTATCCAAGATGAGACTTCTGTTAGGCATTCCTCCCTTCTATCTGCGCCTAAGAAAGTTGATAAATGTGGCAAGTCAGCTGGCAATAGCTCTCAAGCTGATGATGCCTCGAAGGCAACCGCTCAGATAAGAAGGAAGAACAATTCAGCAACTTCGTTGCAGAATGATCATTCTCCGAGCCCCTTGCATAAGGAATTAACATCTTCTCAGGCTGCTCACAATGCTTTAAAAGAAGCTAAAGACCTGAAACATACGGCTGATCGTCTCAAGGTTCATTTGACAGATTTGTCTCATTCTTTATTGCATTGTACTATGATGTTCTAGTCTTCATTTTGTGTTGCTGTTCTTATCGATATTGCATGTGTTTTGCAGAACACTGTCTCAAACCTTGAGCACATTGAGCTTTACTTCCAGGCTTGCCTCAAATTCCTCCATGGTGCTTTTCTCCTAGAAATGAGCAGCAATGAGAGTGCTAGACAAGGAGAGACGATGGTCCAATCTATGAAGATTTATAGTAGCACAGCAAACCTTTGCGGGTAATTTAGAATTGTGAGGGAAAAGAAAGAATCTTTTTTTCCTCATTCTCATCTTGTAAATACTGCTATCTTTTCGTGATAGATTTTGTGCCCACGAGTATGAGAAGTCCAAAGATATGGGAGCTGCTGCTCTTGCATACAAATGCATGGAGGTAGCATTTATGAGAGTGATTAATTCCTCCTATACCAGTGCCAATAGATATCGAAATGAATTGCAAACAGCTTTACAGATGGTTCCTCTAGGTAAGCTAGTTGGAGCAGCCACATCCTGTGGCCAACCTGTTACTAAAAGTCTCTTGCATGCTAATGTTCTTATGGTTGCCTTTTAGGCGAGTCTCCTTCTTCTTCTGCCTCAGACATTGATAATGTGAACCATCCAGCAACAGCAGACAAAGTTGGCACTTCAAAAGGTATTAATTCACCGTTAGTTGCTGGAAACCACATCGTCACTGCTCAAAACCGCTCTAACCTCCTACGGTTACTTCAATATGTAAGTGTTTTTTAACTCCTGCATATCCGTAGTTATCAACTAAGCATAGATTTAGAATTTGTAATTTCTTGGGAAAATAAGTTATATGCCTCATCATCAGATGTGTAATGTGGCTGGTGTGAACTTTATTCTAGTGTGATTGAGCTCAGCAATTTTTGCATATCTGTTACAGGCTCAGGATGTAAGCCTGGCTATGGATGCCTCGAGGAAGTCACGGGTTGCTTTGGCTGCTTCTATTGGGAACTTGGGAGAGGCCCAACAAGGAGAGGGTATTTTATCCATTAAAAGGGCTCTTGATTACAACTTCCAAGACATAGAGGGATTGCTACGTTTAGTAAGGCTTGCAATGGAGGCCAGCAACCGGTAAAAGACCGAAAAGGCAAAAAAAAAGAAAGTTCTGTTGGTGTATCTGTGAATCCCAACGTGGGAAAGAGATAGAGCTTTGCATCTATTCCATTCAAAAGCTGCATCTTGAGCATTTTTGTGGATCTGTAACGTGCCAATAAATGCTTTGGTTTACTGAGCCAGTGGAACTTTGTTTCAAGTGGTTTATGGTAAGACAGAGGAAGGAACTTTTGCATTTGGATTTCGGGATGATGCTTCTCTTACACTATCAAGGAAGATTGAGCAAGGTTTTGACGGGAAAAGGGATAACTAACAGAACCCGGCTGACTTGTGGGTTTGTCTCGTACAAAACCAAGATACAAGTAGTGTGTGTGTGTATAGATGGAGAGAACATGGTTCAGGTAGATGCTGACTGTTAGAATTACATTAACACGGCTTTTTCTTCTGGGGAAGTTTCCTGTTTGCTGTAGTAAAGAGATTGCCCAGTGTAATTGATGAATATTGAGCTTTCCTTTTCACTACCCAAAAACTGAGACAAAGAGAGAGAGCTTCTGGTTTCAGGTTAGTTCGTCTTCCTTTATTACCGTTACTGGTTCTTCAAGTTAATTCTTTCATCTTGGCTAACCTATTCAAACATGTTTCTGCAGATCATAACACTATTCTGCTAGTAGCTTAATGTATCTATCAATCACAGGCTCTGGCTCATTAGTTTCCCGAGGTACAAAAAGATGTTCATTCTGAATTATATGCAGACATTCGATCATTCAATGCATAGAAAGTCATCTGATTTTTGCTGATGTCTTGGCAGTGATAGCTTTTTGTAAATAAAAGAAAAGTCACATGTAATAGAGTTTTGCCAGGAGCATTCAACGGTAAAGGTCCCTGTCGCTGGAGCAGCTTTGGTAAGTGATATCATAATATGTTTGCATTCCTTCTTTTATGTTTGCTGGAATTTTTCCTGAGGTTTATGACTCCGGCTAGTTCTACTGATATCAGGTGCAGTTTCCGGCGATTATTTTTAGACAGAACAAGATTTGCTTGCTCCTCTGCTCTTGCTCCGGTCTCCCCTCCCCTCCTCTTATCATGTAGCAAAAAGATATTCTGTTTCGACTCAAGAGCATTAACTTTATTCTTTTCTTTTCTATTGTAGAATTGTATTGTACATTGTTATCCAAAGATAATGGAAATATATCTTACATAATTTAATAAAAAAAAATGTGATGGAACTGTTTTGTTAATCATATAATCTATGGGTGGTTCAAACCTCTATGGGTTCTTAAGTCTGACAACCTTTGATCTAAAGTGGTTGTGGAAAGACATTGACGAGGTGGAGTTATATCAACTCAGTTAAGACTTTACTTCTGAGGATAAACCATCCCACTATTTAAAAGCACATCTGACCTGGTTTGATCTGATGATGGGAAAAGATCAGAGTTCACCATGTGTATATTCCTTCCTTCAGCCGGAACATTGACGTACTGTATTACAGCAAGCACACAACTAATCAGAAACAGAGGACGCAAAAAGATTGTTAACTATAGTGACTCAGCAATATGACAACATTTCTGTTGGCTATATGTATATATTAACTGTTAAATTCTACTGCTTGACCCAAGTTCTTTCAACTATATCATTGAGGCGCCATGGCTGACTGCAATGCTCTCCTTTACTGGTAACAACTATCAACTTCAATCTCTACCCATTTTCGTCGGTGTTTGAAAAATCATTATTCGTCATGCCATTTCTGAACTCGGCAGTCACAACCATGTGATCGTGCTTGTGTTTTGAGGACTTTGTTCTTGATCTGTATCTTGAATCTTCCTCTGGTTCCTTTCTCTTCTTCTTCGAGCTACCAAGGAACCCGAATGCAAAAGCTTCCAGAGCCTTAGCCGTCAATGGCCGGCTCCTTGTGCTTTGCCTCCTGCCAGGTTGCTGATATGCACTCTCCTCACCATTGGGCAGCTCCACGTTCAATTTGATGGAAGAATGCTCAGTCCAAGAGCTCTCATTGTTCTGCACTACTTCAGCTTCACCCTCCACCTGGAGTTGAGAATTGTTCATTTCAAAATGCTCATGGGTTTCGGGTTTTTCCAGGGAGAGTTCATTTCTTCCATTAGAGCTGTCTCCTGCTAAAGAGTTGGCTGAGGACAGTTTATGAGGCTGATCTCTGTCTTCTTCTCTCATTACCACGTCTTGATGGGTATTTCGTGACTTTGGTCCCATATCAGTTTCCTTGGTCTTTGATTTCTTCTTCCTGGACGGAGTTTCGTCACAATATCCCAACTCTCCTATAGTCCAAGCGGCTAAACTACTCCTTTTGCCAACAAAGGACAACCTATTTGGATCCTTTGGCTTCACTTTCCGGTTCTTCTTCTGATGACTCTCACTGGGAAAAACAGAGCACTGGCTTAAGACATTGTCTGTTGACATGTTTAAAGAGCTGGTTTTACAAGAACTGAGTCTGGCCCCACTTGCATGAACCAAAGAATCACTGCATTCTCTCACGGTTGTCGATTTGGCCTTCCTCTCTGCCTTGTTTTCCATATATTCTGACGAGTTATCCTCAGATTGACTCGAGAAGCTGGGGGAAAATGTCGATGAACCACCTGTTTCCACAGGCAAACATCTCATCTCTCTGGACATACGTCTCTCCACCCCGTGTGTTGTGCTCGTGTCCACAATTGTAAACATCATTACATCAAGGTTTTTACTACTTTTCTGTGGCTGCAGGTACCTCTGCCTCTTGCTGTCAGGTGAAGAATCATCAAACTCATCTGAATTTACCAGTTGTTCATTCCCATCTCTGTCTTCTATGTTCCAATTCTCTCTAATCGCCTCAGCATCAAACTCAAGAAGCGTTGGATCCAAAGCCACTTTGTTCAATACATCAGTGACAGAATCAAAGTAGTGATTACCCTTCACCATTCTCCTCCTGGAGAATTTCTTGGCTCCTGGTATGAGGAAAACCAGAGAATTCCTAACTTGGTGGTCTCTCGGCTGCTCAGAGTGCCACCCTCTTGCCAACAGGCGCGGCCATACAGCTTCCCAGAAAAGATCACTCGACCTGGCCTTGCTCAGCCTGAAGCCTCCAGTCAAGTACCTCACAATATCAGCAGGTGAGAGAGATGAACAAGCTCTCCCTGTTGGTACTTCAGAGTTTCCAGAGTTAGCCAGATTTGTCTTGGGAGGCTCTACCGCACCATTGGTGAGGTCCTTTTTCCCTTTACCTATACCAATTGCTTCTATAAGAATATCTGTTCCAACTGAGCTTTTCAAAGTAAAGACATACTCCTCCAATGCTATTTTCTCTTCTCTGAATGCTTTAGATACCTACAGAACAAAAGAAAGCTCAGAGATCACTGTGAGAAAGTAAACTGATGTAACTAAGAATTTAATTGGAATGAAACAAAAGTAAAGATTCTGATTCAGCTCAGAAATCTAACTAGAGATACCTAGTTCTTCATGTTCTATATTCTGAAACATCAGAGACCGAAAGCAAGCACCGTACCTCAAGCAATGTACTCTTGCATTCCTCGGATACATGAGACGAAATCCGGGACAACAGTTCCTGCTGCCTCCAACCGGTAAGTAACTTATGGCATTGGATGGACCGTCTGCTTCTCAATCTACGTCCATCTGCCCATCTCCTATACTCGCTAGACCTGTAAAATCCGCCATAATAGTATGACAATACATCTCCCATACTCTTGCTCCCAACAAACTTCTGCACAAAGGCAAGGTTTTTCCCTAGACAGTAAAGGCCGAGGAGAAACCTCTTCTGCTCAAGATCTTCCCACGATTCGCCCAGTGACCCAGGAAACGGGTTAAGGCTTTTGCCTAGACAGTCGAATTTGAACTTGACATTTTTTTGACATGGCAATGCCAGAACAATAGTCCTCACTTTGCTACCAGCAGCCGGATCAGCTTTGGCTAAAGGGTCGTCATCATTCGGCACATAGTTCCCGTTAGTTTCGCAGAAACCTCTGAATTTTTCACTTCCTGTCCACATGAGTTGGATCGGCAAAAGTGAGAAGGGATTCTGAGGATGAGGCTTGGATTCAGAGACGTTAATGAGCTTTAAACGATCATCTTCTGGGATTAGATCAGGGATTTCTGCCTGATACTGATCTCCAACACGCGGAAGTACATCCTGCTCTCCATAAAGTCCATTGAGATATGAAGAAGATGGAGAATCCATCAACTGCTCAGAAGATTCATCTGCAAGTCCTTCCAAGTTATCTGAACGGATCTGCTCCATCTGAAGGAACCAACCAAGAGATATTATCGGCAAAGGCAAATCTACCAGTGACACAGAAACTTCATCCAACACAAATTCCTAAATCGATGTGAACAAGCAAGCCAACTCAAAGTCTATAACTTGACGTCATACATCAAGATCAACCATAATATTGAAGACAATGCAGGTAATCTGATGAACTCTGGTCTTCAAACCCTCAGATCCCAGAAAAGCCACATTAATGACCAATTCCGAAGCCCAAAGCTGACGTTTTTCCAACACCATCCAGTTCCACAGAACAACCAATTCGTGGTAAATCCCCGACACGACTATCTTCCAACAGCATTAATCGAACTAAATCGATACAACTGCTGCCCGATTCATTGCGAAGAGAAAAAGTAACCCCTTTCAAAGGAGCTGGGGAAGGACTACATCAAAACCTCGCATATGCATATGTGTACACATTCAACGAGAGAGGAAAGAGCGGATAGGTAACTTGCGTTAACCTCCATGGCAGAACTCAAAGCATTTAAAACCCACGTCGAGAAACAAAACTGGGTAAATGGGTACCCAAAGTTACGAATCTATCTGAATCAAGATGTCAACTTGGCGTGATTCTTATACCCCCCAAGAACAACGATACAATCAACACAAGGAGAAATACACAAAACCACAAAAAAAAGGCAAAAAAGAAACCAAACACGTTAAAGGGACGAGACGACGACGAAGATGACGATGAAGAAGAAGAAGACGTGGTTATGGAAAGAGCTTTCGGATTCACCTCGCACGAAGAAGAACTCAGCCTTGCATCAATAAAACTTGCGAATTCTCGCAGACTTGGAAGAAGAGCGAAACGAAAAACGCAGCGAAAAAATAAATTAAGAAATAAGTAAATTCATCTATACACACACATACATATATATATATGTGGGTGTGTTTAACTACGTATGATGGATTCTACGCCTTCTATGTTTCTTTAGGCATTTATGTGAGCGTGAGACCACGCGCGTCCCCGGTAGGATTAAATTTACGAAAAGGTCATGTAACTAAGAATTTAATTGGAATGAAACAAAAGTAAAGATTCTGATTCAGCTCAGAAATCTAACTAGAGATACCTAGTTCTTCATGTTCTATATTCTGAAACATCAGAGACCGAAAGCAAGCACCGTACCTCAAGCAATGTACTCTTGCATTCCTCGGATACATGAGACGAAATCCGGGACAACAGTTCCTGCTGCCTCCAACCGGTAAGTAACTTATGGCATTGGATGGACCGTCTGCTTCTCAATCTACGTCCATCTGCCCATCTCCTATACTCGCTAGACCTGTAAAATCCGCCATAATAGTATGACAATACATCTCCCATACTCTTGCTCCCAACAAACTTCTGCACAAAGGCAAGGTTTTTCCCTAGACAGTAAAGGCCGAGGAGAAACCTCTTCTGCTCAAGATCTTCCCACGATTCGCCCAGTGACCCAGGAAACGGGTTAAGGCTTTTGCCTAGACAGTCGAATTTGAACTTGACATTTTTTTGACATGGCAATGCCAGAACAATAGTCCTCACTTTGCTACCAGCAGCCGGATCAGCTTTGGCTAAAGGGTCGTCATCATTCGGCACATAGTTCCCGTTAGTTTCGCAGAAACCTCTGAATTTTTCACTTCCTGTCCACATGAGTTGGATCGGCAAAAGTGAGAAGGGATTCTGAGGATGAGGCTTGGATTCAGAGACGTTAATGAGCTTTAAACGATCATCTTCTGGGATTAGATCAGGGATTTCTGCCTGATACTGATCTCCAACACGCGGAAGTACATCCTGCTCTCCATAAAGTCCATTGAGATATGAAGAAGATGGAGAATCCATCAACTGCTCAGAAGATTCATCTGCAAGTCCTTCCAAGTTATCTGAACGGATCTGCTCCATCTGAAGGAACCAACCAAGAGATATTATCGGCAAAGGCAAATCTACCAGTGACACAGAAACTTCATCCAACACAAATTCCTAAATCGATGTGAACAAGCAAGCCAACTCAAAGTCTATAACTTGACGTCATACATCAAGATCAACCATAATATTGAAGACAATGCAGGTAATCTGATGAACTCTGGTCTTCAAACCCTCAGATCCCAGAAAAGCCACATTAATGACCAATTCCGAAGCCCAAAGCTGACGTTTTTCCAACACCATCCAGTTCCACAGAACAACCAATTCGTGGTAAATCCCCGACACGACTATCTTCCAACAGCATTAATCGAACTAAATCGATACAACTGCTGCCCGATTCATTGCGAAGAGAAAAAGTAACCCCTTTCAAAGGAGCTGGGGAAGGACTACATCAAAACCTCGCATATGCATATGTGTACACATTCAACGAGAGAGGAAAGAGCGGATAGGTAACTTGCGTTAACCTCCATGGCAGAACTCAAAGCATTTAAAACCCACGTCGAGAAACAAAACTGGGTAAATGGGTACCCAAAGTTACGAATCTATCTGAATCAAGATGTCAACTTGGCGTGATTCTTATACCCCCCAAGAACAACGATACAATCAACACAAGGAGAAATACACAAAACCACAAAAAAAAGGCAAAAAAGAAACCAAACACGTTAAAGGGACGAGACGACGACGAAGATGACGATGAAGAAGAAGAAGACGTGGTTATGGAAAGAGCTTTCGGATTCACCTCGCACGAAGAAGAACTCAGCCTTGCATCAATAAAACTTGCGAATTCTCGCAGACTTGGAAGAAGAGCGAAACGAAAAACGCAGCGAAAAAATAAATTAAGAAATAAGTAAATTCATCTATACACACACATACATATATATATGTGGGTGTGTTTAACTACGTATGATGGATTCTACGCCTTCTATGTTTCTTTAGGCATTTATGTGAGCGTGAGACCACGCGCGTCCCCGGTAGGATTAAATTTACGAAAAGGTCCATGGACCCTCGCTGGTCTTTTTTTTTTTTAAAAGGGTAAAATCCCTAAAAAAACCTCCAACTTGCAAAAATATATACAAATAAACCTTCAACTTGAAAAACTGTCATTCAATCCCCGAACTTGTTATTTTTTAAATTAAAATTGATAACGTGTATAAGGTGACATTAACAATCTGTTAATACGTGAATTTCCGATCGTCTGAAATTCTGATCAAACCGGTTAAAGGTTTATTAGAGCAATAATTTGCAAGTTCGAAGTTTTATTCAGTGACAAGTTACAAGT